GTTTGGGACGATCGTGTTCATCGTAGAGGACATTGGCATGTTGCGAGTGCTTCCCTATATCCGCATGCTCGTCCAGGCGAGCGAGCAGCGGCGGGCCATGGTACGCAAGCTGCAAATCGTGTGGCAGATGCAAGACTTTGGTATGGCTGTCTCTTGATGCACTGCCCGATACCGCAGTTACTGACAAATCCTAGACCACCAATGCTGGCTGGGCGATTGGATGCAGGACCTGTTGGACCTCGACCGCGGTGAATTTAAGGTATGTGACAACCCTCTACGGCCAGTCTTTATGCCGTCCTGACTGAGATAGATTCTTGAATTTCGTCTGTATTACCTTACAAAGACGACATCCGTTGACCCCGGTGACGCGTTCGGAGAGCGAATCAAACTATGTCAAGGGCCACTGATGGCCGGAGAAATCGTCCAAGGTCACCTGAGCAAGCGCCGTGGGAAGCTAGCTGTCGGTGGTAGGTTTACTTCCCACCCAATCAGTTCACCCATCAACCTACAACGGCTGTGTGATGAGGGAGCTTCTGACAGATCGTGTTGGACGTGCGCCCGATGACTAATCTTGATTCACCGTAGTGTGCGCCCGCCAGTCGATTCGCCAACAGGTCCAGGATGTCGTCCAGCCTCGGACGGGGCCGGATATCAAACTCTTTGACCTCGACCTCGGGCCAGGTCATGTCAGGGAGGCTCCTTGTCGCAACAAGGACACCGCCACCGCTCCGGCCTCGAGTGATTCTTAGAAGTGGGTTGCCTCTCGCATTCTGGAAGGTCATCGACATTGAAGTGAGTTCCAGTATGCCTATGAAATGACGACTCTCTTTGCGCGCAGCCAATGCCATGTGGCAATGGCATCCATCGCTGCTTTTCGTCTTCTCCCTACAGTCCGAGTCCTACGCGCTCAACACAGACCGTCACCGATTCTAAATTACCTCGTCCATTAGTTGGTGAATGGTTCAATCGATTGCGGGCTCCACTCCCTTCCTCGGTAAGCTGACGCATGTGGCATTAGTCCTCAGCGGTCATTAAGCAGCCTTAGATCATGCGATGGCGAATGCACAAGGGCACCCAACCGGAGCCGTGTCCGATCGCTGTCGGGATAGGCTACGCTGGAGCCTAGGAAGCATATACAAATTGTTTCTCTGTGTTGGATTGCCTCGAAGACTCCATGCATCCACTAATATTGTCACAACGGCCAGAACACCCCTTAGTTGAAGGTGCGTTCCGGTGCCGACGACACTGCCTTCGGAGCAGCCCCTCTCAATTTCGAAATCCGTCGCTAGGTGATTGTGCCTTTGATCGTCGAGCAGGATCAGAAGTTCGAGGTCTATTGAACGTATGCGGTGATGTCGACTAGTATCAGTATCAGCGTTATCCTATCGGCAAGTGGCTGACCTGGAACTTCACTGTAAGGGGCAGTCGGAGATGTCCATTGCTACTCTGCGGACGCCAATTTCCCAGCTGGTCTTCCATGGCTTACATGTTGCCCGGCTGTTTTCTCAGGGAATCGCATGATTTGACCGACATTCCAACATTCTTGGCCTGCAGTCTGACCCACGGTTACGATAGACGAGGAAGAGACCTGAAGTCCCCTTGAGGCGGAATATTCCAGTGTGACGGTTCAAACGATATAAGGCGTACGCGCGCTACAGGCAATACCCCAGTACCGCGTCCACGGCCTTGTCACGCAAAAACCTTCCACACAAGTCCCATATCTTTTACAACAGCGTATGTTTTGACACTGTGAAATTCCCAAGGCTGCAGCTGCTCATTGAGAGGCTATCACAGGAAGAAGATCCAGGAGAGACACCGCCCGTGAAAGTGTCATCATGTTGTCCACTGACCACGCCTCGAAGAAAAGGCGAAGATATGCCTGATATGGGATGACCAACTTGCAGTGCAGCGATGAGACATTCCCCTGCGATTACGGGGCTCTGGCGTTTGACTGTTACTCGTCTTCTTATGAGGTCCCCGAGTTCTGGACCTAGAATGGGCCCAGCATTCTGGCTCCGCTTACAAATCCCAAAGGCATTCTAAGGATGTCTTTTGACACGCCTCTGTCATGCTGTTGACTCCCATTGATTTGTTGATAGTGCACCTTACGGTCGTCCAAAAAACACGTTGGAATCAGTCACCGTCTCTCCATTCTTCCTTCCGCGCGTGAAGTGCGACCTCGACAACCTCGGGCATTGTCGCAAGCAGATCTGGGAAGTCTTACGTCCATACAAGCGGATCGTTGATCACGCGGATTATTGACTTCGGATGTTTATGTGGCCAAGAGACGAGCGGGATCCCAATACTCTTGGCAGATTGTGAGTGTTTCCCGGGACAGACCTGATGCATGCTAGAAAAATCTTAAACTCAGAGCGATATTTTGAAAACACCTCACGCGGGTTTCCGTATGGAGAGCATACTGGCTTCTCCTTTAGCATGCGATAAGAGGTCGGAGGACCGAATTGAGATAGCCTGTATTGTTTCATGGGTTCTTTGTTTTCTGGCTCTAAGGTATCTCTTTCGCTTCCATCCACAAACCTATCCGTCTACCGACGGAGAGAACCCAACTCAGGAAATCCAGCCCAAATTGTTCTGGGTTGCGGTCAAGCTAATTAGTACCTGACTGCACCTAGTTTGACCAGTCCCTAGTCGGTCACCGTTGAGTGCCACAAGAATCGGCGAGATTACACTCGGGCCCTGGTCTGCCCATGCCTAGAACCGTGGCCATAATTCAACTTCGGGCTTGCGTTGGGTGGACTGTTTTGCGCAGGGCTGGCGCGTGGTGTCACCTTGCTTCTAAATCAAAGAGACAGCCAATCTTTATAAAGCATCATATGCATTCCAGGTTTGGGCCTCTCATTTTTGGCGTACACGTACACTTTCACCGAAATGTCATTCCTCCTAGCGTCACTCAAATCCCCAGCTAACAATGAAAACCCACCTGCCACGACTGAACGAGCTCCAGAAACACTGGCATCGGCAGAAAAGAAGCCACATTCAGGTATCAGACAATATGTCTGTCACACCACGGAATCGTCTCCGCCCGACGACAGGAGACCGAACTTCCAGGCTGTTTTGGACGAGAGTATGTTAACCGACCAAAACGGTGAAGGTGAGACATCTGGGGCATGGGAGGTGGACAGCGCGGTCACAATCGAGCTTCATGAGACTTTTATCCCTCCCTCATAGGCGGGGGTGTTAGAGTAGCCGTTCTTGTATAACAGCATCAAAAGCTCCTTTCAGGTCTAGTAGTAGTAGGGAGGCTACCTTCTTTTGTCCGAAGGCCTTCTCTATTTTATGGACAATAGTTTGGACCAGATCAATTGCAGAGCGGCCAGGGAGCGCGCCAAAATGACAGGGTGCTAGCAGCCAGCTTGGATTGCCCGTAGGGCCAAACATCTGGCTAAGAAGCGTTCAAGGCCTTTGCCTAGGGTAGAAAGCAGGCTAATCGGCTTCCACGTCCCGGATACTGTACCATCCGATAGATAAGCATCCATCGCTTCACAATGACGCCAAGTAACGTGACCACGTGTTTGCGCACACCATCTTTTCTCCTGTTCCTCCCAACTAGTTGTACATGGTCACCATTATATACATTGTTTCAGAAGGGTAACCTCCCAACTGCCTACTGAAGGGTCCAACATGTTCAACTAAAAAGGAAAAAAGAACAAAACCCCGTCCTCACGCGTACAGGATATGCACCCAGCAGATCCAGCATGCATATTCAGCTTGTGCCGTGCCCGTTGGCGCCGACACACGATACTCCAGGCTTTACACCATGTCAGGTGGACGACATACTGGATCAGGGCATTTGACAGACGCTTCAGGTACACTGTCCACAAGCCGGTTTGTGCTCCGACCGCGAGCGCGCGTGGCCTCCTGGGGTGGCACACCGTCCGGGTGGTAGTGATAGCGCAGTCGATCCAGGGCGCCCCCGTAGTCATTCAAGATGATGGTGTCGCTCAGGCATTTGAAAACAAACGTCAACTACAGCAGGGTCAGCATGCTGATCTTCTCTTCGTCAGTGGCGGCCGCTCACCTTCCAAAACGGCTCCATCCCCGGGGGGTAGCCTAGGCGATTCTCGTCCCGGATCGCACACATGTCCACCACGGCAAACAAGATGGAAATCACCATGAAAAGGAGCATGACGCCAAACGTGGGCTAATGCGGATCAGTTGCACCAGCGAGCACCCATAACCCCGTTGGATGATGTACGGGAGAAGGCAAGTAGTGAAGATCCACCAAGGGTCCCTAAATTCAGATCAGCAATGCCGAGCTTGGAAAGAATTGCGCTCAGACACCACACCGGAACAGCGGCTCGTGGCCGAGTGGTGGTATATAAGACCTGGCCCCGATTGAAAAAGGCGAAATTGCCATAGATTTCGACGACCCAGTACGGCTGGGCCGCCAGCAGGGTGATCAGATAGAGTCGCGCGCCCCAAGGGGTGAAGAATCCGCATATTTTCATCCATGTAATCACGTTGTGGAGGGTGTGCGAAATCGTGAGGCCGACGGCCGTGGCCGAAAGATACCAGCCCTGGGCAGGCACATGGAGAAAGATGAACGTTCCGTGCCCGAGGGCCAGGGTAAGCTAAACGTCCGCATCAGCAGGGGATAGCGCCCCTTCCGCCCCAATGACACAGCGCAACCTACCTCTGCCACGATGCGTTTGTGCAAGAGCATCCCTTTTTTCATGTTGGCCGCGGTGATGGCAATCATGACAACAAGGGAGCCCACCAGGAATCCTTGTCCCCACCCCTCCATGACAAGGATGTCCGGGTCTCTGGGACAATGGCCAGCACTCGGCGTCATGATTCCGCTCTCATCTCGCTCTATCAACAGAAAATTGAAGGGGGTCCCTGCATTGAAGACGAGACGGCGTTTAAATCAACGGGTGTGATTGAGCAAAGCGTTCGCCGCCCGGCATCGTCAACTGCCGTGGGCGATGGAGAGCAGGGGGGAAGCCGGCGACTATGACTGTAACCAGCGTACGATCGACATAATACTAACCAGGGCCTTTCACTAGTCCACCGCTATCTCGAAGACTAAGACACCCATCGGAGTTCCAGCCGGGCCCTGCACGCGGGCTTCTTTTGCCGTTTCAGACGGGGAGTTTGATTGCTGTAATCCGTGTAGTATCATCCGGCACTACCGTTGATGGAACAGGCCCACACCACTTGATCCTCTAGTGTCTCTTCCTTGCCTACTAAATGTCGGCCTGAAAGGACGGCAGCGGAAAGGAGGCATACACCTTTCGTATATTGACTTTTAGCGGGATACGAGATAAAGAACGGGAGGAAACGGCACAACGACCACTATTCTGGTTCTCTTTACGTCAATTGTACTCAACATATTCTTATTAATCATGGCGACGAGGAATCTTTCTATTCAAGTGACATCATCAGCTCAACGGTCATTTAGCGAACGGGGTTAGCCGAAGAAGTGCATCCCAACATCGGCAGGGTTCATATTAACGGTCCGTAATTCGCAAGATTGCCATGACTGTCACAAGTCTCAAATTCTAGACCATGGGGGTGCTACCCTTTCACAGGCTTCAACTGAATATATATCGGGTGGAAGTACATACTCCCGCGACAGCTGATCTGTAGCTCGACTATTCCCAGTTTTCCTTCCCCACTGTCTTCTCGGTTATAGTCAGCTCTGCTACTCCAACTCACGCCCTGTATCTACTGCTGCAGAAGAACACTCAATGGGCGTTGACCTCCGGCTGAGACAAAAATTCATCCCCTCACACAACAATGATTTCAGGGAACTACAGCTGCAGCCTCGAGGGCACCGCTCAGAAAAAACAAGAAATTACCCCCATTGGCGTGTGACCAAAACACAATTTTACCAAGCCCTTGATGAGGCGCAATATGAATCTCAGAGGCTCGAACAGGGATTGTGGCCAGACTCGTGCAGGGTCGATGTGGGTTCTGCCGCAGACACTTCAAGAAGTCTGCAACCTACGACGGCTTTGTCAACTTCAATCCAAAGCCCTGCCTCGAGCTAGACGAATGGTCCACAGTGAGTGGGATAAACCTCTAAGAGAGCCGTTGGGGAACCTGGAGACACCCGAATGTGACTGGTGTGGATTAAAGGCACCAAACGTAGTCTTTGCTCCGTGTTTCCATCGCTTATGTCGGGGTTACGGTGGAGCTGCTGCTCCAGCCGCTTTGGGTGATATGTTCCGAAGCTGCCAAGCCTGTTCTCTTCATAGCTTCCAGCGCCCCCGAAAGGCATGAATGCATTAGCTATTGCTGTTCAGGCGGCTGTGTTGATCGATCATGACATTATCTTGCGGAAAGCGACGTTTACGAGCCTGGAGTGACTAAGGGGCGTTAGATATGGCAATATGAAAAAAACAGAAGATCATTGGATACTATGGTAGCGAGTAGGACAATGTATGGTTGTAGGTTAGCAGTTGGTTTTGTTCTTCTTCTGTACAGATTCTGGGTTTGGCCATTCACGCCAAAGATCATAGTATAAGGCTACTATTCAGAACGCGAGGATGGTGAAAGATATGACCAGGTTAAACTTAACTATCCTCTATTCCAAAATAGAAAAGCCAGAACAAAAACGGCGGATAACAATGACCAAGTACGGAGCTACCAGCAATCCAAGGATCTTTTTCTCTCTCATGCCAGTCGCGTTGATTCTGTGACGCTGGAATCGGACTAATCGGGAAGGAACATGGCCGCAGTTATCATTAGCGTTCAGCCGGGTGTCGCCCAGGAGGCAGCACCATATGGAGATATCTCCATTTTCTTTTGCATATGAGAGAGCAGTCCGACCGCTTTGATCTTTCACATTCGGATATTTCGTACGTCGCCAATAACCTATTGACAAGCGAATTATTGCTGGTCTGCACAGCAAGGTGGAGGTATGATGAACCCTGTCCATCCTTGATATTCACGGCGATCTTGGTATCGTCAAGCAGCCAGCTTGCAACTTCAGGTTGGTGCACAACCTCCCACCACAGTGGCGTACGTCCTCGAGTGTCTCGCACATTGACGTCCACCTCAGGATGTTGCAGGAGAAGCTCGACAGTTGGCAGATGTCCTTTGCCGCTTTATGAAGCGCGGTTAACCCGCACTTGTCCTGTGCATTAACAATGATTCCTGTGTGTTGCAGGAGTAGCTTCAGACTTAGCAAACGTCCTTCATATGCCGCATCATGAAGTGCAGTTAACCCTTCGATGTCTTGTGTATTGACATCAAGCTTAGGTTTTGGAAGGAGCAGTTCCACAATAGGCGAATATTCTTCGCAAGCCGCTATATGAAGCGCGGCCAACCCGTTGGTGTCTTGCGCATTGAAATCTGCTCCGGACGCAAGCAGCTTCCTAGCAACATGGCAAGAGCCCCTGTAAGCTGCCAGCGTAAGAGGAGCATATCCGAAGCGATCACAACAATCTATGTCAATCTCCAGGCCCTCAGAAAGTCCCTCAGCCGCTCTCAGTTGGTCTCCCAATAGTGTCCAGTATAGCAAATACATGAAATTATATCCTAGTCCGGTGTCAATGTCGGCATCATTGTCTTGAGAGAGCTATGTGGCGGCTACCCGATGGTCTTCATAAGCAGCTAAGTGCGAGCATACGTCAGGTGTAGAAGAAGTCTGCGTAGGATCGTGGTCGCAGTGATCTTGGCCCATATTGGCAGCTGCAATCATGCAAATGAGGAAAGAAATGTCTTACCCAACTCTTACTCTCACTCATATGAAGCGAGGTCTTCTTCGTGTTTGATATCTACTGATGTCCTTATTCTGTCTCTGATACGTCGCTCATCACTCGGGCTTTTCTCAGCGGTATAACACGACTGGACCAAATTCCCGATACCCATCTCCAGCCACCCAGGAGGGGCACTTGCTCGAGGAGGGCGGACAACGCTCCTCGGAACATATGCTGGGCTCTCAAGAAACCGTTTGGCAGTCCTCGGAGCACGGTCTCTCCCACGTTTTACGTCCTTTCTCGGAAGAGGCCACTTGCTACAAACTTCACGCCACTGGGCTACATATAATAAGATGTGGCGTCTCTGTCAGACTCACCTGCATACAAAGGTTCATTGCGCAGTTTTGGAACGCTTCGGGCTAACTTGGACCCTTTCCTATCCGCCAAAGGAACGCATGCCCACGTGCGTACCACGCCTATTCAAAATTCTGCACCCAAGTCTATATCCAATCATGCCACTCATCCTTCCCAGTGAGATTTTCTTGTGCATTGCTACAGCTTAAGTCAAGATTGGCTTCCATGTTTCGCCCAGAAAAACTCTCTTAAACCCTAATGTCAAGGATGTGATGAAACAGCCTGGTCCAAACCCAGTCGTTTTGTAGATCATAGCTCTCACATTGGAATGGATACGTAATTTACCTGAGAAGTCCATACACCCCGCCGGTACGGGGCCATGGCAAGTTAATGTGAGCTTACCGCATACTAGACCTCGCCAAACGCGGGTTTGGGGCGGGTTTCTGAATGGAGGAACCGCCCATGGGTTACCCGCCGCGGGTTTTCGATTCTAAAACCCGCC